TGTGTTCTCACTTCACAGGGTTGTTATCGGATATGATGAAGGAACCATCATGGTTAAACTGGGACGAGAAGTTCCTGTTGCTAGCATGGACAATACTGGAAAAATCATATGGGCTAAGCATAATGAAATTCAAACTGCGAACATCAAAAGTATTGGTGCAGATTACGAGGTATACGCCGTACTTGTTTCTCTTATACTGTGCTAGAGGATGATCTATTTGTTTATTTGTTTGCCTGATGGTATTCTGCTTTTCTTCTCTACCTTAGGTTACTGATGGAGAGAGGTTGCCCTTGGCTGTTAAAGAGCTGGGAACCTGTGATCTATATCCACAAGTGAGTGCTATTATATAGTTTATTTGGGCAAATAAAAAATCTGCACTCGGTCCAATGATTTCATGATGTTTTGGCCATCGTCAAGCCGTGAATATATATCTGTTCTTGACTTATTTGTGTCTCTTATCTGGATATTCTGAATCTCAGAGCTTGAAGCACAATCCGAATGGGAGATTTGTCGTAGTTTGTGGAGACGGGGAGTATATAATCTATACGGCTTTGGCTTGGAGAAATAGGTCATTTGGTTCTGGACTGGAATTCGTCTGGTCGTCTGAGGGTGAGTGTGCGGTTAGAGAAAGCTCATCAAAGATTAAGACATTTAGCAAAAATTTCCAGGTTCGTATTTGCCTTCTGCTTGCTCTAAGATATTCTGTTAGAGCATGGTTATTATTTTTACTTGTCTAGGAGATCACTATTTTCGGATCTCGCTCATTCGCAAAAGATGATTTCAGGAAAAGAGGAGTATCCGCCCTACTTTCTCAGCTGAGAAGATCTTTGGAGGAACCTTGTTAGCTATGTGTTCAAATGATTTCATCTGCTTTTATGATTGGGCTGAATGTAGGCTTATTCAACGTATTGACGTCACTGTAAAGGTATCCCAGATAACTGCTCAGTTTGTTGTGAGAAGTTTACTTCAAGACATTTGATATAGTTGAAGCTAATGTCCTTACCATTAGTTGGAGGTTGTCCTCGTTTGTTTCTTCTCTAATTCTTACTGTTCCCATGTAACGTTTGCAGAATCTTTATTGGGCTGACAGTGGTGACTTAGTAGCCATTGCTAGCGACACGTCATTCTACATCTTGAAGTACAACGTGAGGATCCTATCCAACGAACACTTTTATTCTGTGAATTTCGCTATGTCATTCTTGGCTATTCAAGTGCTTACTACGGTGTTCCTGTTTTACAGCGCGACTTAGTTTCCTCACATTTCGATAGTGGAAGATCTACTGAGGAAGAAGGTGTCGAGGATGCTTTTGAGGTTCTTCATGAGAATGATGAACGTGTTAGGACAGGTCTATGGGTTGGTGACTGTTTCATTTACAACAACTCTTCTTCAAAGCTTAACTATTGTGTCGGAGGCGAGGTATAATGCATATCTCTTGGTTACTTTAGTTTGACCATTGTTATGAAAATTGTTTTGATTATAATTGCTAACATCTTAATACTTAGGTAACCACAATGTATCATTTGGACCGGCCAATGTATTTGTTGGGATATCTTGCAAGTCAAAGTCGGGTCTTCTTGGTAGACAAAGAATTCAAGTAAGTGCCTTAATTTGGTATGTTTATTTCAGATTGGATTAGACTTTTCTGAGGTCTCTTCTCCTGTTTTTTTTTGTGGGGATGCAGTGTAATAGGATACACCTTACTGCTAAGCCTGATTGAGTACAAGACTCTTGTGATGCGAGGTGATCTCGACAAAGCCAGTGAAATCTTACCAACAATTCCTAAAGATCAGCATAACAGGTACTTGTTATCAATTATTAGATAAACTTTTGTGTATATACACTTCATTCTTTGTCACGCTTAATCTCTTGTTGCATTATATGTCATCTGTAATGTTAATAGTTTAATTACACCTTCGCTGAACACCTATCAGTGGCTGTTTTGTGGACATTTCTCTTTGTTTATTTTGGAAAATTTTCCAATTGTCAGTGTTGCTCATTTCTTGGAGTCACGAGGAATGACTGAAGAAGCACTAGAAATTGCCACAGATCCCGACTACAGATTTGAGTTGGCCATACAACTGGGTAGACTTGAGATTGCGCAGGTGTGATTTAATGTGTGATGATTAAGATGCTTTGTTACTTTTGTAATGGTGATATATTAATGTGTTTTTGATTAAATGGTTGTAGGAAATCGCTGTAGAAGTACAAAGTGAGTCTAAATGGAAGCAATTAGGGGAGTTGGCGATGTCATCTGGGAAGGTAAATGATACATCAGTTGATCCAAAGTATATATTTTATTCAAAAAAGTGGGAGTAGAGAGCACTATAATTTTTAGAGTAGCAAACTTATCTATTTCCTGTCTCCTGGATTTGTCTCTCGTGTGCGGATTTCCAACTAACTCTTTTGTGTTTTCATTTCATCATGCCAGCTTCAATTGGCAGAGGAGTGCATGAAGTATGCGATGGATCTGAGTGGTTTGTTACTGCTTTATTCTTCTCTGGGAGATGCTGAAGGTGTGTCAAAACTCGCAACACTTGCGAAAGAGCAAGGGAAGAACAATGTTGCCTTTCTTTGCCTTTTCATGCTCGGTAAATTGGAAGATTGTCTGGACTTATTGGTGGAGAGGTAATACATTAGTAGTATTCACTTGGAAAATCAATACTAGTGTGGCTTTGGTTATCTGTGTGACAGTACTATCTTTCTTTCAGCAACCGAATACCAGAAGCTGCTCTAATGGCAAGATCATATCTTCCAAGCAAAGTATCTGAGATAGTAGCTCTTTGGAGGAAAGATCTCAGCAAGGTTATTTTTATATCTTTATTGTTAGTGTGCTGTTTGGGAATTGAGGAGGAGATATGTTGACAATTTTCACTTTTACAGATAAATTCAAAAGCAGCAGAATCTTTGGCTGATCCTGAGGAGTACTCAAATCTGTTTGATGATTGGCAAGTTGCTCTCTCTGTCGAAGCAAGAGCTGCAGAAACAAGGTAAGCAAGCAGCGTATCATTCTTTACACTGATAGTTCCCCGTGTGAGTGAGATGCTTAGACCTCTCTTATAATAAACTATTCTTCATGTACAGGGGAGTTTATACAGCTGCAGAAAGTTATCCTAGTCATGCGGATAGATCTTCAGTGACCTTGGTGGAAGCCTTTAGTAACTTGCAAGTTGAGGAAGAGGAATCACTTGAAAATGGAGATATGGATCACGAGGTGGCCAATTTTCTTTTCCAACTAAGTGACAGTCGTTCACATTATGCTGTGTAATGTGTTAACCAACTAATTTTTTAAAAACTTTTTAGGAGGTGGTAGCAGAAGAAACCGGAGATGACGAAAAGAATGAGGATGTTGAGGAACATCATCATGGAGAACAAGAAGAAGAAGGAGTCGTTGTTGATGGTGACTCTACCGATGGAGCAGTGCTTGTTAACGGAAGTGAGGCTGAAGAAGAGTGGGGTACGAATAATGAAGGAAACCCATCAGCCTAATGATAGCAAGTTGGGTCAAGGCTGAATTGTTTTTTGTCTTTCTGGTGATTAATTTGATTCCCCCCAAAAGATAATGCTACCGCCTCCTTTAGAACATCTTTTCTTTGTTTCCTTGATCTGATGAATTCATTTGCGTTTCATAGTAACCTTTAGGAAGATATAATACCAGGTTTTTTTTTTTAAAACTGAGTATCTGTTTCACTTTTGTTTATGGCGAGGTACATTATCTCTGGCTTGAATATTTCTTCTCTTTGTGTGTATTTTTGCAGTGCTTACACCACGTCAGTAGAGTTTGGCAGCAACCATGGAGATGTGGCAACTTTCTTTCTTTCTGAGGATTCCGTATGGGTCAGATATTCGGAGCAGCCTTTGATTAAAAGGGAACTGGTAGTAGTTGTTTATTTTGCACTGAGGAAGATTCGTATTATTACATGGTTTTGGTTTTGTTTTTGTTTCTCTTACAAATACTTATCATTTCATCTGTTTATTTGTTTTATCTTCTGGCCTGAAATGATTTGCTTGTCTTGGGTTTTATTTTCGGATAACGTGAAAAAATTATTGATTTCATGTCCTAGCATGAGTTTTTAAGGATTCTTATTCGTTGAATTAGCTCAAACATATGGAGGATATAAAACAAAATCATTTTTAAATAAGAAAGATATAATAAAAGATTTTTTTTTGGTATGACTCAACTCACAAGATAAGGTTTATAAGAGCATCTTCAATATATACATATTTGTTTTATAACAGCATTTAGAATTAAAATTATTCTAACATAATTCTATTTCTTTTTCTAAAATCGAGATTTCTGTTGTATCTTCTATAAAAAAAGAGGAATAACATCTTTCTATTTTTTGTTTTTGTATTTTTTTTGTATTGTATACATCTTTCTAATTTGACAATAAAACATATATAAAGAGTAGAAAATGTAATAGCAGACAAATTTAAATGAGGTGCTTTACAATGGTTCTTTGACTTAAATCTTTTTTTTATGTTGATCATGTTCTACCGTGGTTTGGGATTTTTTTTTGTTTTTCTTTAAATTAGTAGACAGTAACCATTGTTGCTAAGAAATCGACAATAATCGAACTGAAAGGAGAAGGAAATAATGTATAATACCAACACGTGTCCGAATAGAATAAAATAAAAATATCGATAAATACTTATTTCTTCTCCTCATCAGAGACCACTTCGCTCCTCCTCCGGCGATAGGTTTTCAATCTCCTCCTCCTCCGTCGGTAAGTCCCATTCATTTTCTCTTTCGCCGCCGCTCACTTTTGTCGAATCTATGATTTTCTTCCTTCCTAGCTTCTCCGAAATGGTTCAGGACTTTGCTGCTCCCATTCTAGGGTTTCGTCGAATCCACTGATTTCAATCTCCTTTGTTCGGCTCGTGTTTGGCTTCGCGTAGCGATTGTTTCTTTTGTTTGTGATTGAATGTGTTGGAAGCTGTTATGTGTTTCCTTTCCTTTCATCTAGGGTTTTGATTTTAATTGTGAATAAGAAAGAGGCAAAGAACTAACCGTTTATTAGATTGAGAGAGGTTAGATTCACTATTTCTGTAGGTTTCTTTGGTTTCTCTCTTTTTTCTTGAATAGTTGCGTGATGTTACCATCTTTTCTAGCTTTCAGTTTCCATTGTCATTATTCATGGTTTCTCTCTTTTTACAGGTGTTCTTTAAGTGTTTGCTGATATTCTCTCAAAACAGTTTGACAAATGGGAGACTCAGAAAGCGCCCAGCAACCTTCAAAAAAGAGAGGTGCGCTGAAGCAGCTTTCTCGTGAGAACCCGGATGATGATGATGATGATGTTTCTGCTGCATTTGAGAGTGGGACTTTCAAGAAGGCCAGTGATGAGGTTTTGGCTAGTAGGAGAATCGTCAAAGTCAAGCGCAAAGAGCCTTCTGCTGCACCTCCCGCTGCACCAACAACCAATCCCTTTGCTGGAATTCAGTTTCTCCCTGCTACACCTGCTTCAGCCGTTTTTGGAACGAATCCACCTCTGCCTGAGTCTAAGATGGCTCCAGCAGAAGCGGTAGTTGAAGACAATCAAAAGGGAGTTGATACCGAAGAGGACGGTGATGAAGTTGAGAGTAAGAAGGTTGATGACTCTCCTGGGGTAGAGACTAAAGATGAGAAAGAGCATGGAAAGACATCTGATGACCAAACTAGTCATGATGATGTAGACAAGACGGTCAAAGAAGCAGACAAAACTGAGGATCTTACTGAGAAGGAATCAGGTGGTGATCAGACTGAGGGAAAAGAAAAAGAAGGTGATGGAAGCGTTGAAGTTGCAGACAAGAACGGTGATAACAATGGCTCTTTGAGTTCGTTCCAACAGCATTCAAGTAGCAAAAACGCATTCACCGGACTCGCCACTACAGAGTCTTCTGCTCCTCCGTTCTCGTTTGGTGTGGCTTCTCAGGATGGTTCAACTGGATCTGTATTCGGCTTAGGCCTCTCAAGCAGCAGTAACCCTTCTCTTTTTGGATCTTCCATTGTCAAGAAGAGTGAAGGTAGTGGGTTTCCTCCGAAGCAAGAGGTTTTAGTAGAAACAGGAGAAGAGAACGACAAAGTTGCCTTCTCAGCTGATTCGATTATGTTTGAGTATCTTGATGGAGGATGGAGAGAGCGTGGTAAAGGAGAACTCAAGGTGAACGTATCAAGTAATGGTGGTAAAGCAAGGCTAGTCATGAGAGCTAAAGGGAACTACAGGTTGATCTTAAACGCGAGTCTCTACCCTGAAATGAAACTTGCGAGCATGGACAAGAAAGGAATCACATTCGCATGTGTGAATAGTGTAAGTGAAGGCAAAGATGGTCTCTCTACATTTGCTCTGAAGTTCAAAGACCCAACGATCGTGGAAGAGTTTCGTGTAGCTGTCGAGAAACATAAAGGCAGTAAACCAATTGAAACATCAGCTCCTCCGTTGAAGACACCTGAGAATTCTCCTACAGCTACAGATGCTTGAAGAGTGGTCATGTTGAAACATTTCTCTTTGCCTTTGTGTCTTGTTGTGTTACTCTTGAGTAGGTGAATTTTGGGGCAGAGATTTGAAGAAGTTTGTTGTTGTGTTTCGTTGTCACAGTTGTTGAGACTTTATTACATTGAGACTATATATCTGCTTCTTGGCCTCTTTATATGAACCATTTGGTATGCTTCATTACATCTGCTTGGGGTTTCATTACTGGGTTATTCCGACTGTTCAAGCTTTAGAATATTTCTGGAATTTTGATCTGTGGTCTTGTAATGCTCGTTCGTAAGAGATAAAGTTAAACAGACCAGCCAACAAACTCTTTGTATTAGTATGTGTCTTAAGCATTGATATGTGACTTACTATTAGTTTGTCTAGGCCTCAAGCTACTGACATTTGACATGTAAATTCTCTAGACTCGTGAGCCCAATATTGATAATAAATAAGTTTGTCATCCCTTCGCTCAAATTATTACAAAGAGATTTTAATTTGGATGCTGTACAGTAAGTTCGAGATTTCAACAAAAATGATAATAATCAAGAAATGATTATCTAGTAGCAGTCTTCAAGTGGCAATCTTTTTTTTTGTTCTCTTTAAGAACTTGGTGATGCTTATTAATGTTGGTTTATGTCAAAATCGAATCTATCATCTACGGACTCAAATTATTGGCCACTCCTGGCATCTGGTAAGACGGCAACAACATTTTCAAAGCCTATTAGCTTATAACTAATCTCTTCCATACGAAAGAAATGTTTAAATGTTAGATTTTTGTTTATATTTTGACAACTTTTTTTCTTTGAATTTAAGAAGTTCTGCGCCAATCCTATAATCTTTTTGGCGAAGAACAAGAACCAGTTACTAAATTTCCTCTCTACAGCCGTTGAAACTCGAACTTAGCATCTTTACCTCCAGAAAAACAAGGCTTTACCAGTAGAATAAACAGTTCTGAGTATTTGCTAGCAACTTTTCAAACACCCTTGTATTGATACAACTCTAACAAATCATTCATTGTTTGGTAATTTTTGTTCTAAAATGGGAAATTCTGCACACAAATATAGTCTAATTATCTAAACTATTAAAGCTAGACTACAAATATGAAATATCCCTTAATTTTCTTCAAAAATACATCTTCATGCCTAGGCTTGGTCATGCGGAGTCCCAATCGGATTTCGGTTTTGTCCAATCGAGTCTCGGTTTTCCGGGTTTATAAAAATCAGTCCCATTCGGATTATTTGAAAGTTCGGTTCGGGATCGGTTCGGATTCTGTCGGGGTTAGTAAATCTTTAAAGAACCGGCATAACCCGTTTTACTTTCGGTTAGGGTCCCAATCGTTTTTTTAATTTAAAATTAGATGATTTGTACCTACTTTGTAACCAAAACATAAGTAAAATCGGTTCTTCAGATTTAAAGTACTTGATGTATAACTATTTTGTAACCAAAACATAAGTAAAATTGACAAATATAAGAAAGGAATAGGCCTCGGCCTTTTACCCGGACCCGAAGACCCGAACCGGAACCGACCCGAAAATACCCGACCCGAACCCGACCCGAAAATTTATAAGTACCTATTGGGTCTAAAATTCTTTTACCCGAATAGAACCGGACCCGAAAAGAACCGACCCGAATAGACCCGGACCCGAAAAGAACCGATCCGAATAGACCCGACCCGATAAGAACCGATTTGTACCCGACTTATAAACATGTATAACCAAAACTATTGTTTTTGTGTTATGTTTTATATATCTATACTATTTTATAATTTAGTTGAAATATATTTTGTTAACAATATTTATTATTATCTGTAACATTTTTAAGTAATATAAAGTTTTAAAATGTAAAATTTAGAGTTTAAAAATGTTTTCCTTAATTATTAATAGTTTAAATTAAGTTATTTTATAAAATTCTAGATATATATGAAAAATATTGACTGAATCTGAGTGAGTTTGAGCATGTTATATATTTTTTAGATTCTAAATACCCGGACCCGATATGGATCCGAAAATTACATATATTTTACAGGTATTGAAATTATAGACACAAACCGACCCGGACCCGGCAAGACCTCGACCCGGACAATCATAGGTACCCATATGGGTCTAAATTTCCAAGACTCGAAAGACCCGGACCCGACAGGACCCGGCCCGAACCCGACCCGAGGACCTGGATGCCAAGGCCTTCCATCAAACGTGATCATTCAAAATCAGATGAAAGTAATCATAGTTATTGATAGAAAGATAATAAAATAAATGAAATCATAAAACGAAAAACAAGTCTTAAGAAATGAGAAACATTATTCAATAAAAAGATAACCTTAATCTAAAAATTTCAAGTTTCAACCGCCACCTTCAACTATCAACCTTCATGTAATAGATAATTATTTTAGATGTTTAGTAATATCTTAAAGTATTTTGGATATATATTTGGAATTGAGATCATGTTCAATAAATGTTCTTATTAAAAATTTTGAATGTTTCGGGTTCTATCAGATATCCATTTAATTTTGGGCTCGGTTCGGATAATACTCATAACCCAAAATACCACAAAACAAGATCCATTCGGTATTTAAGTCGGGTTCGGATCTGTTTGGATTCATTTATATCGGATCGGGTTCGGTTCGAATTTTTGGGTCTGGTTTATTAGCCCACCCCTAATTCATGCCATTGGTCTTAATTCATATATGGGCTTGGTCAATTAAAATAAAACTAAAGTCTAATCCATAATGAAAATAAAATTTGAAGATAGTAATTTAGTTGTGACCCATTTTAATTGTAAGTTTATAACCGAAAAATTTAAACTATTAATTTCAATTAACTCTCTTCTCATTTTTAATGTGTTTTTGAACTTAGTTTCATTATTATTTTTGTTTCTTTAAATAATATATTTGTTTTTTAAACATTTTAGTGTTTACTTTGCCAACTAAGCTAAATAAAACTACAATAAAAGAAAAACACAATCTTTTGGTTTATAAGTGAAGACTAATCACATTTAAACAAAATCCATCAATGTCAATCCTAAATAACATATAAATCTATAATATAAAAACATAAAAATTAAATTTATCGCCCTTTCAAAAGTTAAAAATATATGATTATAAGAACAAACATCCGCGTACGCGCACCGATCAAAAGCTAGTAATTGGGTTAATAGTTAAAACTCTTGTCTAATAAGAAGTTTGAAGATTATTTCAAGTTGCATTGGAAAGGATCTCCAAAATAATTCATTTAAATAATTTGGTCTTTACTTTAGATGATATATACGGATACAGTTTCTTTTTGGAATTTAAAGCATCTACAATAGCCAAATTTGTATAAAAACTATTACATGAAAATTTGATCAATAAAATCAGCCCACGAAATCAAATTACCGGCCTGCAAACATTTGGTAGGTAACTATTTGATGTAATAGACCGTAATTGTCTCACAAATGCCTCGGTTATGGTGTTTCACAGTCACACATTTTTTTAAAACATTAGTTCATAAATTTGAATCCGAAACTATTGACGTTTAACATTTATATTGCAACTTATAAAAATATTTTATTAGATTTTGATGCAGTTAAAAGTTGGCTGGGTTGAGCTAATGGTGTAATTGTGATTATATCTAATGAATCTCAGTGATGGGAGTGGGTGTCTCTAAATAATTCTCTGTTGGGACCGTGGGGGTAAGCCTTCTCCAAAACCATGACATCTTTATAATTGCTGTATTTTTGTAGGCCAAACAAAAGCGTATGTAATAGTTTAGTTGATTTTTGATGACTACCACAAGTCAATTTTTTTTTTGTCATCGCTACCACAAGTCAATTCATCATCTGAAAGAATTAAAAAAAAATTCATGTGGTCGAGTGGTTAGTGCTTGTACTACTGAATGTATCAAATTCGACGTTTCACATCTCAGAATATATATTCAAGTTTTTTTTTGAAACACTTATTATTATTCAAGTTTCTTAGTGTTCATTTCATCGTGTGCAGATGTAGCATCTGTATGTCAAATTCAGACATCACATAAAATAAATTTGAGTAAAAATATCCAACTACACTAAGTACAAAGAATACTAGATCTTCGATCCACCATGCAAATTCAAAACTATAAAGGTTAGGCTGGCATATTATCAATTTTATCACAATTTTTAAATTATGTCATGTTTTTATAAACATTCTAATTTAAAAAAAAAGATAGTAGCATATTCTATTTAATGTTAAAAATGAGAAGTTAAACTTGAGAAATCTTTTAGGGTTAAAATCGCAGTACTTAATTCACTGTCAAATCTGAAAAATCATCGTTTGGCACTAAATTATGAAATCACATTTAGGTATCAAAACACTGTGAACTTTTATTTTTCTGTCAAATTGACTAGTCCATTTTTCTCAACAAAAAGAAAATCCACTTAACATTTATAGATTTTTTTTTTTTTACAAAATTTGCTAAAACAACTTGGACTATCCTTCAAAAATATGAATTTAGTTGTGGCACTAAATTGTGAAATTTTGTTTTGATACTTAATTTTAGAATCTATTTTCACTGAATTTATAAAAAAAAACAAAATTTTAGTAACAAAACAATATGTAATTGTGTTTTCAATTCCTGCAAAAATTTTGAAATTACATTTTTCTTAATTATAAACTACATTTATTAAATGAAATGAGAAATCATAATTCTTGTAAAATAAATAATTTTTGCTGTTAAACTGAAATGAACTGAAGACCAATTCCAAAAAAATTACTTTCAAACTTTAGTTTCGAAAACATTATTTGCAAACACATTCTGTAGTGAACTGAAGACCAATTCCAAAAACATTATTTTCAAACACATTCTGTAGTGAACTGAAGACCAATTCCAAAAACATTATTTAAAAACTTTAGTTTCGAAAACATTATTACAAACTTCCAAGGAAAACTAGAGATTTCAAACTATTGCAACTAATTTTTTTGTATGGCCACGTTTTTCCCTCTTCTCCCAGCTGTTAAAACTAAGTAACTAACAAATGATTTTGTCACATTTTCCTTATTTCTCAATGGTTCTAACAAATTCCAAAAACCATATTAGCTCTTTTGTCAAACCCAGCCTTCGTTTGTTTTATGGGGAGAATATTCAATTTTCTTTAAACTGAAATAGTTTGTGAGATATTATCCATGTTTCAAAAATGTCATTTTAACGTTTTTTCTTATTACTATAAAGAGTAATAAACTTTTTAAAAATTAAACTATATTTTAAAAGAATTTTTTTAATATTATATTTTTTTTTATTATTTTGACTAATATTTAATAGAAATTTGATTTAATTAAGCACAAAATTAATATATATTGAATAATATATATGTAATCTATTTAAAATTCGAATCTTATAATTTTTATTTTGTGTTTATTTTGGTTAAATGTATTAAATCAACTTGTATAACACTACAAAAAAAGTC